GCTGTGCGTCGGCCGCCCGCCGCAGGACGTCGCCCAGCACACGCTCTAGCCGGCACCGCACCAGCACGCACGCCACGTCCTGCCTGCCAACGCCGCCACCGCTGCTGCTGATGCTGCTCTTACAGCCCTGTGTGTGTGCAAGCCAAAGCTGATGCGCGGAGGGAAACGCGGCGCCACTGACGGCGTCCTCCACCGCGTGCGCAGCGGCGGGGTCACCGCACGCCACAAAGAACGCCGCACGCACGCCGCCGTCCCCCACACTCACAACGCAGTCGAGATCGTCACGGCCAGAGCCGGTACACGCAGAGAGGTCGGCGAGGAGGGCGTCGCGAAGTGCATCTAGGCTCACACCGCGCCAGCCACCCCCCGCAAACCAGCGGGTGTGGCGCGAGAAGAGCACAATGCCAGACCACTCACGCGCATCGTCACCTGGTGCTGTTGCTTCTGCTGCTGCTGGTGGTGGTGGTGGTGTCGCCTCCCACATCTCTGCAGCAACGAGTGATGGCGCCAACTCTTCAAACGCCTCGAGACGCTCGGGCGGCTGCTCGCAATCCAACAGCTTCACTGGAACTCGGGCCGGAGCAGCAGGAGCAGTATCAACGAGGCGTCGCTTCTCTTCCCCCTCTTTACCCTTTCCTTTTTGGGGGCACTGGAGATGTCGCATCAGCTCATCGTCGCTCAGTGGCGAAGGCATCCATTTTGCCAGCACTGCCTCACGGTTGTACGAATCCAAATCGGCAAAGAGCTCCTGCAGGCGTTCGTACCTGTTGGAAATCGGCACATCATTGGCTACCTGCTCGCGCGCTTCCGTCTCATCTCTTGCTGTTATGGCATGGGCTACTGCACTAGCATTCGGCACTTCTACCTCATCCGCAGTAGCGGACTGGCTGGACATTGCTGAGATAACCATCGGTGTCGCGTCGCCCGCAGCACAAGACGTAACAACTGGTGCCTCCCCAACACCGCATGGCATCACATCATCCGCATCCGTTGATACCGATTCCGATGCTGCTTCTGCTCTCGCCTCATCGGAAACAGGCAATCCTGCTGGCTCGTGCAACTCCCCCGCGCCTGTGATGAGCTTGCCGTCTTCGTCAAGGTGGTACTGCCGGTGCAGGGCGCGAAACAGCTCCTCCTCGTCCACGTCCAGGTCGAGGGCGCATTGCACCTTCGCCTTCACATTCAGCGGGCTGTGCCTCTCGTAAAACGCAAAGAGGCGGCGGCGCAACGCCTCCTTCGCAGGTGTCATTGTTTCTGCTGGTGTTATTGTTGTTGTTGCTGTTGGCGTGATGCCTGCTTCGTCCGCAGCTAGTCTTGCCCTGCTCCGCGCCGCCGGTGGTAGCGGATTGCCGGTTGCGTCGAGATTGTAGCGGCGGTGCAGCGAGGCAAAGAGGATGTCCTCGTCAACGTTGAGCGACATGGCGTAGCGTACCTTCTCCTTCACCTCATTTGGGCAGTGTGTTGTGTAGAACTCCGTGAGCCGACGACGCAGCGCAGCTCTGTGGTCGCCCCCTCCATTCCCCACCGGCTGCTGCGGTGGAGCCGTGCCGTACTTCTCGCGCAGCCGCCGCATCACCGCGTCGAGCGGGCCGTCG